TTTCACTGAGGGTCCTCTCTCACTGAAAGATCTCGAGCCGGTTGCTACGTGGCGCGACCCCAGGTGGCGGATAGGGGGTAAATCGCGGACCAAAAGCCACCATGTACTTGCCCTGAGACGCAGGTGGATTCAGGGGATGGACTCCCTGTTTCTGTAGTGCTGTGTTGATTCATACCAGCTGTCTCCACTCAGGCGCATCCATGCATGCTTGCGTGTGTGGTGCGCTCTGTGTGTGTGCGGTTGGTATCCTGCATGTCGGCACAGCCAAAAGCTTGCATTCAAGTGACTGGGAAGTACATGGGAGGCGATTCGGGGCCGCCTCCAAAAAATAAGCCCCTTGTTCCGCTCCAGGATAGCGTGGCTAACTACCTGGAGGTCTATCCTAGCCCGCACGACAGAGCCTGGCAAGCTACTCGTGTGCCGAACAGCATATGGCTTTGGGCCTCATTTCCCCACCTGAGGGAGCCCCCAATACGACAGCGTTGGGGGCTCGTTGGGTAGGACCGCTCGAGAGAGGCTGCTAGAATCTCAGGGCGCGGATAGGCTGCCTAAGACGGAAAAGAAGAGCATAACAAAACGGTTGCAGATCTAGTAGCATGACGCCAAGGACGATCCATCGCAACGCCTCAATCCGAAGATCTGATGATGCAGAAGCCAGAGCAAGAATCAGATAACGACGTATAGCCTTCCAGCGCGAAGAAAAACCGGACACGAACCCAGATACGATGCCGACTAGTCGCATACCTGCGGAGAGAAAAAACTAAGTCTATGACAGCACACATGACAACAAAGCAAGACCGGACAGCGAGCAAAAACAAAAAAACAAAAACAAAAAAAAAACACACCACAGAATAACATGGCCAAGCGTATGGGTAGATCACTCAGTACAACACGCACTTGGCCATAAACATCGATTCGTATACGAAAGCCTTACGACCCGAATCGGACGTTTGAGATTGAGAAGATGTGGTTCAACTCCTGCTTTGACAATCTTCGTCGCCTACGCACCAACATCGAGCTACGACGAGGAGGAACACGAAGCATTTTATATGGAATTGGAGAAGTTCTACAAGGAAGATCATACCTTCTTCAAGGTCATCGTCGGCGACTTCAACGCCAAGATTGGCCCGAGAAGAACGGCTGAAGAACTTCACATCGGTACTCACGGAATGGATTGGAATGAGCAGGGCGAAAGACTGTCTGAGTTTATCATGTCGACCAATACCATCCATGGTAACTCGCAGTTCCAGAAGCCCTCTCACCTTCGCTGGACTTGGGAGTCACCTGATGGACAGTTCCATAACGAGATAGACCACATCATCTTCAATCGAAGGTTTTGCCTGACCGACGTCGCTGTTGTTCCGAAGTTCTACACGGGATCGGACCATCGTCTCCTCCGCGCAAAGTTCCACTTTTCGATGCGTGTTGAGAGAGCCTCGAAGTTCAGGAAGCGAAGCCCCAGGACAGTCATCAACTGGGATCACTTCACTTCTCTTGTCAGCTTATGGGAGGATTCCGTTATCGAGAACATCGACGAGGAATATCATCGGCTCGTTGAACACCTTCACGAGTGGCAGGAAGGCAGAGAGTTTGCAAGTCACCAAAGGACGTCTGTCTACGGAAACTCTCGAGCTGATACGCCAACGTGGAGCCGCACGAGCTGCAGGCAATCACCAACTCACGTCCGAGCTTGCGAAGCTATGCAGAGAGGCGATAAAGGAAGATCTCAAGGAGCGAAGAGCAGCAGTATTAGCTGAAGCAGCAGAGGCTGGGAGGAGCATCCGCAATGCCCGCCGAAGCTTTGCCAGCTACAAGACCAAGATGACCTGTCCGACGTAAAGCTTCGTAGATGGAACAGTTACTGCGTCCCGAAGGGCAATGGAGAAAGTCATCCACGACTTCTACTCGGATCTCTTCGATAGCCATGTCCATCTGCCTACTTATCAACCGCAAGAGGATGGATACGTTGTCCCCTCAGTTCTCCCTTCCGAAGTCCGACACGCCATCAAGTCGGTGAAGAATTGTACAGCGCCCGGTCTCGACAGGGTTAAACCGGAACATCTGAAGAACGCACCGCCAGTTATCATCAGAACTCTGGCTCGACTCTTCACGCGCTACCTGTCGGAATGCAAGGTACCCACTCCGTGGAAAACCAGCAGGACCGTGTTGCTGTACAAGAAGGGAGACTTGGACGACATTGGCAACTATCGCCCAATCTGCCTGCTGTCTGTAATCTACAAGCTATTCACTCGAGTCATCCTTAACAGGATCGGCAGAATAGATGAAGGACAGCCATGCGAGCAAGCAGGGTTTCGAAGAGGGTTCAGCACGATCGACCATATCCACACGGTTACAAGACTCATTGAAGTTTCACGAGAGTACAAGATGCCGCTTTGTCTCACGTTCATCGACTTGAAGAAGGCCTTCGACTCTGTGGAGACAGAAGCGGTCATCGAAGCCTTGGGCAACCAGGGCGTCCCTACTCAGTACATCAAGATTCTTCGTGAGCTCTACAGCAACTTTACGACCAGGATCTCACCATTCTACAAGGAGGTCATCATCGACGTCAAGAGAGAGGGGTTCGACAGGGCGACACCATCTCGCCCAAACTCTTCAGCCGCTCTCGAGAACGTCATGCGTCAACTGGAATGGGAAGACATGGGAGTGAAAGGTCGACGGCCGGCAACTACAGCACCGTTCGCTCTCTCTCGCTCGCGCATCGCTTCTTGCAATGCCGAACATCGAGCAAGCGAATGCTGGCTGATTTCGACTGCGCCTGTGGTAAGGTTGGTCTGCAGCTGAACCTAACGAAGACGATGTTTATGAGAAACGGATTGGTTCCTGATGCCCCATTCACGCTCAACGGAACGAACATCACCGAATGCTCCAGCTACGTGTACCTAGGTCGGGAAATCAATATGATGAACGATCTAGCTCCAGAGCTGAGCAGGAGGAAACGAGCGGCTTGGGGAGCGTTCAAGAACATCGAGGGAGTAGTGAAGAAGACGAAGAACATCCGGCTCCGTGCCCACCTCTTCGATTCCGCTGTCCTTCCTGCCCTAACCTACGCCTCAGAGACTTGGACTCTGCGCAGGCAGGACGAGCATGCGGTCAGCGTTATCCAACGCGCTGTCGAGAGGACGATGCTAGGAGTAACCCTATACACGCAAGTGCAGAGGGGAATCCGGAGTTCCGAACTACGCCAACGATCGAAGATCAGGGACGCTGCCGTTTTCGCCAAGGAATCGAAGATAAGGTGGGCCGGACACGTCATGCGATTTTGCGATGACCGTTGGACCAGAGCGGTTACCGACTGGATCCCTCGGGACGTCAAACGAACACCTGGACGACCCTCGAGCAAGGAGGATCCACTGGACCACTCTAGCACGCGACAGGGACGAATGGAGACGTTGCTGGCGCCCGCTCGAGCAAATCGACGATCAACGGGACGACAGGTGATACAGGTGATGTAGCTGAGGAGAACTCCAAGGATCTCCCCTTGCTTTTTGATAGAAACAAAGGCCGTGTCACAGAAGAAACATCCTTTTTAATAAGCCGTGCTCTGCCATCGAATCTTCTTCGGAAACTTAATGTCTCAACGGAACAATGTTTTTGCTTGCGAATGAATCCCAAGATTCTTGAGTGGAAAACGTGGAAGGCATCATCTGTGGAAAAGGAATCATTGAGCCGATTATAGCACAAAATGCAAGCAGAGCCGACTGGAGTAAGGTTCGCTTTTGCTCGATATGTTTTAGCATTTGTTTGTTTTTCTTTTCGTGCTTTTCTCATCCTTAGTAGCTTTTCTCTTCGCGAAGCACTACCAGGAGAAAGAAAATGCCGAAGAGAAAGACGGACAAACAGTAATGCAAGCAAAAGCAAACCTACTTCAGTCGGCTCGGAAGCCCCTTCATGGAAAGCTCAGCCCGACACCTTCATGAAAACTCGGCCCAAGTTCCGTCATGGTTTCTCGCCACAGATGATGCCTTCCACGTTTTCCACTCAAGAATCAACTTGGGATTATTCGCAAGCAAAAAACATTGTTCCGTTGAGACATTAAGTTCCGAAGAAGATTTGATGGCAGAGCACGGCTTATAAAAAAGGATGTTTCTTCTGTGACACGGCCTTTGTTTCTATCGAAAAGCAAGGGGAGATCCTTGGAGCTCTTCTCAACTCCATATCATGTAAAATCCCTGAAAAAATTCTCGAGCTCCTCGTGAATTTGGTCAAAATCTTGTGCGATTGCCTAATTAGTAGTTTTTGCGACGACCTGACCTTTTAAAAAGTCAGACAGCATTTTCTATCATACTGTCCCCTTGAGAAGTAGGATGTTAGCACAATAAAAAAGTTTGGCGAAACGGAAGTGAAAATAGAAAAACATGAGGTGGAGTTATAATTTTGGGACGTCGGCTAAGTGGCCTTTTGAACAAAAATTATTAGAAAAAATTCCTGGGATCTCAAGTTGGAAGTTGATGTTTATAGGCAATTTCGTATTTGTATTTGACACACTGCCACATTGGAGACTTTTTCTAAAACATCTAAATTTGTGAGATTTTGGGAAATTCTTAGGTGGAGTTATAAGTTGTTAGTTTTAGTGTTTAGTTATGAGAGTTAGTGTTTAGTTAGTCTTAGTGTTTATTTATAAGAGTTTATGGGACGCAATGTATTTATGAAAAGCGCTTCATATACCCTGAGTGAAGAATAAGGTGATCCGTGGCCGGAACACATATGTACATGAAAGGTCTAGCTTCTCACAGAAGATAAATGGGCACTTGTATTGAATAGAGAAAAGCAGGTGGGCGTATTTCATCTTCAGAATCGTTACCAGAAATAATAAGGAGTTAAAGTAAGGATAAACTATGCGGTGCTGCTTGTCGTTCTTTTTCATACCTCAAGTGTAAAAGTTTCCAATTCTGTAATCTAGGTGGACACTATACGTTTCAGGGTTGTGTTCAATCTGGGTTCTTTGCATTGACAATCTTGTCCCTCCATCTTCTTTCTAGATATGTGACTACGAAATGGGCCGAATTTATCACAACAACACTTACATGGGAACTAGCGCATGCCGTGGATGGGTATGTTGCTAAAAGATTAGGTATATAGTTTTTTCTCAACGAGACTTTATTTAGGCTCATTTTGATTGTATTCCACGAAAAATTTCGCATATCATTATGTCAACCATTGTTGATGTGTAAGAATAAAGCTAGGATTTCTCCCACAATTCAGCCATTACCGAGGTAATTAATCATTTTCAACAGTTACACCTGTAGCATAGTAATAAGACGGCGAATTTTGCAACTATGCCCGTCAAAAGCGCACTCTACAATAGCTATTAAAATATTATTAAGGAACAATGTTTCGTAATAAAGGCGGCAGAGATTCGCTACTAGAACCTCGCGAATGTCTTTGATCATTTCTCATTTCTTTTTTCAAATTTCTTTGGTGCAGCAAACAATCAGCAAACCCATGCACCACCGTAATCGCCGAAGGATTCAGCAGGTCACATTACCCTCCCCTTCAAAAAGCCAGAAAGTGTCGGGTGCAGACCATACACCACAAGTGACGACGGCCTCCAAAATGCAAATGTTTTCTGCCAATGAAATGATTAGCCTGTTGCAGTTGTATTCTATCAGTTGTCACTAATTACAACTATCATTTACCAAAAATCAGCTATCACTATGAACCACTACTAACCAGATTTACTTGGAGGCCGTCGTCACTTGTGGTGTATGGTCTGCACCGACAATTTCTCGCTTTTTGAAGGGGAGGGTAGATACAGCTGTCTAGAAATCCTGACCTTTTGAATTGAGAAACTCGACGAAGTCCTTTTCAAGTTGATTCAGATTGTCTCTTCCCTCTTCAAATGGACAGCAACAGAGGCAGAGGGCAAGTTGATGAAGCCCGGTCTGTTGATTACACCAGGTGGAACAAATGTCCCATACGGGTGTGAAGACCCTCGCTGAAAACGTGGTGAAGGAAGAAATATTTGCAGCTCGCCAATTTCGAACGTTACGTTCACAGTTGCAGTTTCGGATTTAGACTTTGGAGGCTCTACACAACCCGGTGCTTTGTGATCAACATGAAGAAACCATTTGTTCTTCCTAGCAATGCTGTCAGAAGAGAGACAGCTGCTAAAAGATGGAAAATGAAAAATGGTGCCACAGAATTTCTTCACCTTTGAAGCTGGTAGTCACTCGGATCACAAAGTACTTTTTTGCCAATTTCTGTTCTCTGAGCTGACATCGGGGAAGGGTTACTGCACTCGCGAAATACTGGCAATGCTGTGCCAGTTTCTGTGCAATGCAGCGAAGGCCCGTTCCAATCGATCTCAGATTACACTGGTGATTCTACTTAAAGGGCGACAAGTCTGTAGTTTTTTCTCAATACCTGGACGTGGATAATCAAGTGCTTGCCATACCATGAAAGGTCTAGGACGTTCGCACCAAGTCTTCCTCACTGATGTACGTGATAACTCTGTAGCATTTCGCATCCGGAAATCGCTTTTAACGACGACGCGCGTTTCGGCTTTTTTGCTCGTGTGGGACGGGGCGATTTTGCGAGTGCGACCGCCGCACCTCGGATCCGTGAATTTTTATTGATAACTTTTTAAAGCACCAGTGGTACAAAAACATCTCAGTAACAGTCAATGCGTAGAAGGTAATAGAGTATATAGTGACGAAGTTCCGATTAAAGAACATGTAATGGTAATGAAAAAGGAAATTTTAGTCATTTTATCTGTAGTGGATGCCAAAAGCTCTTTTGATGTGGTTATACCAAGTGAAACATGTATTTTTCTGTCTCTTTAGATTTGTATTTACTTTCACTACCCTTTTTTATTGACATGTTCATGAGAATAGGATGAAAACGAGGAATGAACCGAGCTGCCAATTCGCTGAGCTTGGAAAACTTCTTGCTAAACTGGAGCATATTTGACAAACAATGACCTATGTCGTTCACAATAATGTTATGTTCTAATCCATAGAAGAGAGACAAACAAATTGGGAAAAAGCTGCGCATGCCTAGAAAAAGGGATGACGAGAGTGAGACGCGCAACCGCGTCTCACTGTCGTCGATGTGTTAAATCTACTGTAGGTGCGGTACTACGAGAGCAAGGGATGGAAGGCTTAGTTGCCCGCACGAACCACGACCAGGATCTGATCCACGGACCGCACTTGCCACTACACCACTTCCGTCCATTCCATTTTTATTCCTCAACATGTAGAAAAAATATCGGAGACTCCCCCGACCACGTAATATTTTTGGCTACGGCTGTCATTCGTTACCGTGTCTGCATCTCGCTATTGCTGTTGCTCTTTTGTCTCCATGTCTGTTCTCTCGTTTTAGCAAACTGTGCCTTTTGGGCTGCTTCATGTGCCGCCTCAAAATCATCCACCAGCCATTTGAAATAATCAGCCGTCATTTCTAGCGTTTTTCCGAGTTTCTTTCCTATTTTCCTATTTTTGGTATTTTTATTATGTATCCACATATATATATATCTATAATGTATCTTTATATATATATCCTGCTTTGATGCCCAAAGGTAACAATTACACCCAACACGCTTCCCAGACTAATGAGCCTGGCTTTTTGTTTGCGCTGACTTTCTACCACTTAACATCTAATCTTTGTTAAACCTACTTTTAGGAACAAAATTTACTACTTCCAGAGAGGCACAGCCTTCAAGTTCCTCTTGATCGTGAACTCATTCGACGTAGCGTTTGATCTCAACGACAGCAGCAATTGCTCGTCATTTTCCCTCCCTGAAACGGCGTGAAACGCTGATTCCAAGTACAGCAATGAATGAAACTGAACTGTTAAAAAAAGTAACGTGTTTTGTGGATAATTAAAGTCGCTGTAAATCTCGTGATGTGATAAATTATTCATCACATGTTGTCATTGTAATAACAAATTTTTAAAATGCTAGCAACACCCATGAGCAAATAGTGCAAACTTATTAGGAGTTATGGGAAAAATTTTTACGCAGGCAACTGAAGGAAAGCTTTGATGAGGGATGCAGGTAAATGACTTTTACCCATGTTGTTGGAAAGGCAAAACGAACTAATGAGAGAATCAATCTCACGACTCAACATTTTCGCGTCTGCACGCTTTAAATTCGCTACTGTCTCGCAACTCTTTCACATCTTGAATGCTTTCTGTGCCAAGCAGCACGGGGGAAAGCCTTCATGTCGCCATTGAGAGAACCATTCAGCAAACTTGGAAAGCAGAGATCAAGTTTTAAGGGCGTATGAGGAATACACATCTCACTTTGGGAAAGCATGGCAACTTTTCTTGGTAGATCTTACAGCACTTCGAGTGAGGAACTGAGCGAAACAAGTGCTACTGAACTTTCGTACAGTTCTTTTTGATTCTTCTTAACATGGAGGCGTGGGCTTTTGGTGAAGCAAAAGCTACAGATAGTCAGCTGTAACACCCGTAGTACGTCAAGCCTCTGAAGCTGCCCGCAGAAAAGCCTGCGTTGGTGGTGAAGTTGTCGTTGGGTGCGCTTGGTGCATGCGTTTGATACCCCAGCGTGCGAACAGTGTACCATTTAGGTATGTGCGCGCAGGTGTTCTATACCACGCAGGGAAAACCGTCGCGGCAGATTCCAAAAGTTTCGCACACTTCTTCCCACCCCGCTCCTTCCCCTTCCCCCCTTCCCCCCTAAAAATTTCCCAACCTAGATCACGTCCGGCCAAGATCGTGAAATTTTTGAAATCTCAGGGTCTCACTACTATTTACTTCTCCTGTAAGAGCTGTATTCTTAAACATTTATTTATATTTGAGTACGAATTACTTCGCTGCGTCGCGGCTCAAGCTTTGGAGCGGGCAGCTTTCGTGCCCACGTCGAAGAGAGGAGGTTGTGAACCCTTGAACGAGCACAACTCCCTTCAAAATTGATATTTTGCGAAACTCCAAGCAGATTTAATATCTGCGTGGTTCCCTTTTTCCCAGTTGTTTTACCGCTCTTCTTTTATAAAGCGGTTTAGCGGATTTCCAAGGAAACGCAGTCTATACTTTCGAAGTACGTGGTAACGTGCAGAGTTAGACTAGGTGGTACACATACGCAACGACGGTGAACAAGCATCAGCAGAAAGGAATATTTTCAAGACTATAGAAACTGTCCTCCGACTTACTGTCTATAGTTTTCGAAGTCAGTCGCGTTGTCTTAAGCCATCTCCGGGTCCAGGGAAAGGCGAATGAGAAAAAGTTGCAGTTGGCAATCAACCTAAATAAAGCCATGCCTCCTTGGAAGGCTTCCTCATACGTTTCTATATGCGTGGATATGACAATGATGAATCCTCATGCAAAAATTATTTAAAATTTAAGTTCGCAAATATTTGTCCAGAAAATGCTTCAAGCTTCTCAATACATTTGGCGGTGTGGATTGCCCAGCTAGATCTTATCAAGACCACATCACGTTTGTTCCTACAACTTGTTAAGCATTCGTTCAGTTTCAGTTCTATTACAATTCGCAGGACCTCTTGTCTACGTTAATCAAACATACACCTCATTGTCATAAATCCAATAGTGTTTCTACCGCCACTAACTTTTGAAATTTCTCCGCTGAGCGACGGATTTGCAGCGTCGCAAAGCGTCGCCCCTTCATAACTCCCCCCAAAGCGGGTCAAATGATTGGTGCTCTACACCATTGGACTCGTCTCTCTGTGGCGAGTCTAACCATGTGGAAAACTACGGTACTCGCCGTAAAAAATCGAAAAAAAAACACGCGAAAAACGCGAATTCGCGTTTTTTTTCGTTTTTTCGTTATAACTCGCTTCAGAATTAAGATTTTCAAAATCTGAAAAAAGCATTGAACTCAGCTCGTCGAGTTCTATAAGAATATGCTTTTAAACTTTTGGAAAGCCCTACTTCAGATTGCGCCATGCACTCGAGCTTTGGCTCGAGAAAAAATTGTTTGAATGTGGTGCGCATATAATCCCGCTTATGCATCATGATCGTTCTTCAGAGAGATGGGTCTCAGCAGTTGCCCCAGAACGCGCCGCGTATTCAACATCGTCCATTGTATTGTGAATGGATCGATTGCTTTTTTCCAGATTTCATGGTCCCTATTCCAAATCTCTTTACTGTTGTAGAGTACGCTTACTTGAGTGTAGAAATAAGATGACATACTTGCTTGTAGACGAGCGCTTCCGCCGTGCTGTGGCTGTGAAAATGCCTCCTCGTCATGCCCTTGTGGAAAGATCAGATTTTTTGCATTTCCAGATGAACTCGCAGACCTGAAATGTGCCCCGTTAGATTCCCCGTGAAAAATGCTATCGAATGATATGCATTACTCCTCCCAGTTGAAACTTTGGTTTTTCACCGTTTTCAGCCTTCCCCTATTGCCGATTGGGCATCATTATTCCACTATTACTGCCCCAAAATCTCAAAGTTTCATTTTTCGTCGAAACTTTGCCTATTGGGGTAATTCGATGCCCTGATTACGAATATGACATTCATTCTCGTAGTGTGGCCCCAACATCACACCTCGCCCCATTTTTTGCGACATGTTCCATGTTTAGAGCAGATGTTATGTAGAAAGCTGTGAAGGCAGCGACGAATTTCCTTTACTGGCGTAGACTACGGTCACTTGTCTGTAGGAATTACATAGAAACCTTGGTGGCAGGTGAGTCTTCCTTCCGTAGTGTGACCCCAAACATCACACCTCGTCATGCCCTTGCGATATGATCAGATTTTTTTTGGTTCTCCAGATGAACATAGAAGACTGAGATGTGCACCATTCAATTCCCCATAAAAAATACTTTCGCACTAGATCATTTTCGTGACATTTCCCAATTTCGAAGGGAACGTTTTGAGGAAATTCGAGAAGGGAGGGACGAACTCTCTTCCCTATCGTGGAGTAAGTTTACTTGTATGTTGGAAAAAGATGATACACTCGGGCTTGAGCGAGTGTTTCTTCCCTGGTGTGGCCTCAAACATCGCTCTCCGTCATGCCCTGAAATAAAAACCAGATTTTTTGGTCTTCCAGGTGGCTCTACGGAGCTGTGGTGTACACCGTTCGATTCTCCGATATACATCTCAGTTCCCACTTGAACTTTCGTTTTTTCACCGTTTTCGGCCTTTTCCTTATCGCCGATCGCCTTCCTCAGCCCTGGCCACCCACGTGCTATTCACGTGCGCGGTGCGTGATGACTTTCCCACGCACTTTCGACACGCATAGCGGTGTATCGATCGGGCTGCCCGCCAGCTACCGAGAAAGGCCATCGGCTGTCACGTGAGCTCTCACGCACCGCGCACGTGAATAGCACGTGGGTGGCCAGGGCTGAGGAAGGCGATCGGCGATAAGGAAAAGGCCGAAAACGGTGAAAAACGAAAGTTTCAAGTGGGAACTGAGATGTATATCGTTCGATAGCATTTTGCATGGAGAATCGAATGGTGTACACCACAGCTCCGTAGAGCCACCTGGAAGACCAAAAAATCTGGTTTTTATTTCAGGGCATGACGGAGAGCGATGTTTGAGGCCACACCAGGGAAGAAACACTCGCTCAAGCCCGAGTGTATCATCTTTTTCCAACGCACAAGTAAACTTACTCTAGTGGCAGGTAACTAGATGTTCTCCAAAAAGTGAGTTGTATACCGTTCGACAGTATTTTTATGGGAGAATTGAATGGTGCACATCTCAGTCTTCTATGTTCATCTGGAGAACCAAAAAAAATCTGATCATATCGCAAGGGCATGACGAGGTGTGATGTTTGGGGTCACACTACGGAAGGAAGACTCACCTGCCACCAAGGTTTCTATGTAATTCCTACAGACAAGTAACCGTAGTCTACGACAGTAGAGGAAATTCGTCGCTGCCTTCACAGCTTTCTACATAACATCTGCTCTAAACATGGAACATGTCGCAAAAAATGGGGCGAGGTGTGATGTTTGGGGCCACACTACGAGAATGAATGTCATATTCGTAATCAGGGCATCGAATTACCCCAATAGGCAAAGTTTCGACGAAAAATGAAACTTTGAGATTTTGGGGCAGTAATAGTGGAATAATGATGCCCAATCGGCAATAGGGGAAGGCTGAAAACGGTGAAAAACCAAAGTTTCAACTGGGAGGAGTAATGCATATCATTCGATAGCATTTTTCACGGGGAATCCTAACGGGGCACATTTCAGGTCTGCGAGTTCATCTGGAAATGCAAAAAATCTGATCTTTCCACAAGGGCATGACGAGGAGGCATTTTCACAGCCACAGCACGGCGGAAGCGCTCGTCTACAAGCAAGTATGTCATCTTATTTCTACACACAAGTAAGCGTACTCTACAACAGTGAAGAATTTCCCCGCTACCTCCTCAGATTTCGGAAAAACCTTCGCTCAAACATTGGAAAATTTCACCAGATAGGCTAACTGTCCAGCCGAGAATTGATCTATGATTTCCATTTGAACACGAGAGGAGGAGATGTTGAGCGCAGGGACTACGTGTTAAGTCATTTAACGCGCCGCTATGGAATAGGGACCATGAAATCTGGAAAAAAGCAATCGATCCATTCACAATACAATGGACGATGTTGAATACGCGGCGCGTTCTGGGGCAACTGCTGAGACCCATCTCTCTGAAGAACGATCATGATGCATAAGCGGGATTATATGCGCACCACATTCAAACAATTTTTTCTCGAGCCAAAGCTCGAGTGCATGGCGCAATCTGAAGTAGGGCTTTCCAAAAGTTTAAAAGCATATTCTTATAGAACTCGACGAGCTGAGTTCAATGCTTTTTTCAGATTTCGAAAATCTTAATTTCTGAAGCGAGTTAT